TAAATTAAATGTGACAATAATTGAATGTAAACCATTATTTACGTTGATTTATTTATAAAAATTTTTATTGTAACACAATTTTTAGAATTTATTTGATTTTTCTAGAATGATGATCTTCCCCAAAAACTGCAATACCATTTATAGCAAAATTCCTGACTGTAATAAGTTGTGTATGTGATGTATATGTTGATCAATTAATAATAAATATTTTTTCAATAGAAAAAAATGTCAGCAGTAGTCAAGATTAGAAAAGAAAAAAGAAGACAAGAAACTGGACGTGGAGATGCGTTGGTTGGGTAAGTGTTTTAAGGGTGGTGGTGGTTATTGCCCGCCACTCGTCGTCACTCTAGTTATTATTTAACTAAGGTCTAATTTAAACATTCATTTTTTCATTTAATGAAAAGGGAATCACAAATGACCATATCCAAGTGAGTGTTCTTATTATATAAAGGATTGTTATCAGATTGCAATTCGTCTGTCATTCTAATCATCATATTTATAAGTTTTGTTTTTGCTTATGATTTGTTTTTTTACAAACCATTAAAATATTATATAATTGGAAATTGATTCCTTTATGTTACTTGTTTAAACATTAAAGTGAGCTGAGTTTGCCACAAGTAAGTAATTATACACTCATCATCAGAAAACCAGTAAAGAATTATACATTCTTTCTATTATGAGCATATTTGTCTATATGTACCATGAAAAGATTACAATTATATTTATCTAATTGTATTATTTTTTTTTTTTTTTTTACAAAGGTTAAAAGATGCAAAAAACTTTTAACGGTATGAAATGTAACTCAAAATAATTTTTTTTTGACCATGGCTGTTCTATAATCTTTCTGCTTAACTAGGTATCAGATGATGATGATAATGATGATAATGAAGAAGATGCAATCAAATACTTCACCAGAAACATCCCAAATTTTGGGAAGGGTATAATTGTAGGTTATTCTTTAGCTTTATAAGTGCAATAAGCTTTTAGACTAAAAACTAATCAAACTGAAATTATAGAGTGATGAGTTGTATCAAGAGTTGATTAGGAAATATCGGGAGTCTGAAGAAAGGTATTTATTTACTCTATATAGAATAATTTAATAATAATAAGCAAAATTCTTATAACCATATTTAAACTACATAATCTAGCAACTTGATAAAATTTGGTGTTGTAGACCTTGATGATTTGAATAAGCCAGCATTTTATGAACAGTTGAAACTTAGCTATCAAAGACAATTCAAAGGGTTAGAAAAGATTCTTGGAGATGAAGTAATAGCAAAAATGTTGGAAAAAATTGGATCTTTCAAAGAAACAGAATCTATAGAAAGTTTTTTTGAATCTTTCAATAAATATGAAAACTTTAGAAGTGTTATATTTGTTGATAGAATGCGACATTTCATTTTGTCTGCAGTAAAAACATTGTAACAAACAATTTTTTTTAAATAGTATCAAATTTTCATAGAATACTCAAATATTTACCATTTTGGTTATCTATCTTGTATTTAGTTGGAATGTTTTCTCCAGAAGTGAAACATATTTTGATGCTGAACACAGCGAGCCACATCTAAATACATTCCTTTACACACCATTATTTGATGCACTGTTTTTCAGCAAAGAATATATTTTATCAGTGAACAGGTAATGTGTTTCTTACCTTCTTTTTATTGAATTGTAAAGACATTAATTTTTTTTTAAGATGATTTCAACCTAAATTTCATTAACAATAGTTCAAGTGAAGCAAACAGTGAAAGAAGGAATTATAACATCAAATCAGAACGAATAAGACGTGCTTTAATTCCAGATATCAAAGTTTGCTATGCAACACATGAAGTAGAAACCATTGTTTTTGAACAAAAAAAATTAGCTGCACGAATGAAAGGCATAAAGCCAGCAAAGTATGACTCAAACAAATTGGTGCTGTTAATGCATGACCAAATAACACGTTTCTATAATATCTTGAGTAGTAGAGATCTGGAAGAAAATATAAATCTGATAAATGTATTTGGTGTACGTCTGTCTGGTAAATTATATAATATAATAATAATGTTAAAGCTTTATATATATGTGCATATGTATATATTAATTATTTAATAAAATTAAACAGGCCTAGATGTTGAGATATATATAATGTACCTTGCTGCACCAGGACTTTACATAAAATCCAAGCTATTTTCATTCACACTACCAAAAAGACTAGTTTCTTTTTCATCAATTGTGAATCCCATAATAGATCTGATCAAATTTAGGGTAAGATGCTTAAATTTCTTGCTGAGTTATTATTATCATTTTGGTATCATTATTTACAGATTCTAATTAAGTAATAATATTATATTTTCAGGTGATTTTTGAAAAGTCAGCTGAAACATATAAAAAGATAATAATGAAAGATTTAGAGCTCATCATTCAAAAAGGCTCAAACAATAATGATAAAGATAATAATGATAATTATAGTATCCCAGCACAAACAAGATCTGAAAATTGGATTGTTAATATTGAAAAACCACCAGCAACATTAGAGAAAGAAAGAGCAATGAAAATTAAGGAAAAAAAAAATAATATTAACTAGCAACTTTAATTAATGTATTATTTAAAAATATTTTTCAATACATTTTGCAGAACAGTCACAGATAAAATTTATTTATCATTAAGATAAAAACATCTGACTTTCAAGGCAATGATTAGTCAAACAACTCTTCATTTTTTGAGAGAGTTCAATTGAAAAGTGTTCACTACAATAACTACAAATTGCAATATATTTGTTAATATTAAGAAAAAACAATCACATTACTAAATTTTGATCCCTGAAATTTTTGGCAATACCAATGTTCACTTTGGTTTTGTTACAGCATGCCCCATATTATAATTTAACTTTTACAACACAAAATAAACATCATCTAATTAATCAATTGGTTTTTTTATTTCTTTATAATAACCAGAAGGTAAGTTATTATATTATAATTTAACCTTTACAACACAAAATAAACATCATCTAATTAATTAATTTGTTTTTTTATTTCTTTATAATAACCAGAAGGTAAGTATTATATTATAATTTAACTTTTACAACACAAAATAAACATCATCTTATTAATTTGTTTTTTTATTTCTTTATAATAACCAGGGCATAAGTATTATATTATAATATAACTTTTACAACACAAAATAAACATAATCTAATTAAATAATTTGTTTTTTTATTTCTTTATAATAACCAGGGTGTAAGTATTATATTATAATTTAACTTTTACAACACAAAATAAACATCATCTAATTAATCAATTGGTTTTTTTATTTTTTTATAATAATCAGCATGTACAGTGTGTTTCAAAAAAAATGGCGTGCACAAAAAATCGTATACTGCAACAATTATGCAAGATAAATAAATAAAATTATGTTCATTTAAAAGCCTACTAATAC